TCTGCATTAACACCGAATATATAACAGGACAGATACACATGGTCGACAGGTCGTTTCACTAACTTATAGTTACCCCTCCAAATATAAAAACCTATAATATACTTATAGAATAAGTGTTATCCATTTTGTAGTACATAGAAGGACTATTGTTAAAATTTTGTTGTTCCTTTGTTATAAAATGAAGTGCATTTAGACCTCATTTCAAATATACAAATACAATACCTACATACGAATGTATTCCGTTAATGGTTATGTGCTACTTGAGAATTCTAGGCACAGTAATGGTATGTCTGCGGCCGCCTGTCACCGACACTACAGGCTAATAAATGGTCGAATGATGGATCCATCACCCAAACTGACACCTCGCCATCCTCCACGCCACCTCGCCAGCTTCAACACATTCCTAAGGTTAAGAAACGTGTCTTGCCCCACTCGATCAATACACGCATGTACCTAGTCGCCTAACAACTGTACCGCTTCGTAATTCATTCTTCATATATAACGTGATGTACAATTTGTGTAAACTCTCTTAAATAACACGGCAACACCTGAAAATGAATGATGGAATTCAAATGTTTAGGATTGATTTTTGATGCGGCATCTAGCGGTGTTACGAGCTTTCTTTTTATTTTCCTCGTCCTCTGATAAACACTGCATACTACTGCGGCAAATCGGTTCAAGCGTTGACGTTGTCTTATGCATTCTCGTAGTTCCAACTATTATCGTTTACTACACATGGGGATAGCCGCAGACGTACTGAACTCGTGGTGTTGTTTCTTGATGACACTCACCTGGCACTCGTTACACGTGTGTACGGAGTAGGGCTGGTCACAGTCGTAGCGAAAGAGGATGTTGACAAAATCGCAGTGCACGCGCGCTACCATCGCGTCGAGACCGAGGAGGTCGTGCAGCGCGTGCTCGCAGCGTTCCCCGCCGGCGAGCACGTCGGCGCGCGCGCTACGATCCAGCGCGGAAGCGGGCGAGCGCTCGCAGCAGGCGCGCAACCGCAGCTCTGCCAGGCGCCGCGCGCGTGCACCGGCTCCCAGCGCGCACAGGTGCGGCACGTCGCGCTCCGAGAGCACGTCGGGCGCGCCGCCGCCGCCGCCGCACGCCGCGCCCCTGCACTCGCGCACGCCGCCCGCGCCCTCCTCCTCCAGGTCGCACGCGCTCAGCCAGGGGTTGAGGCGCGCGAGCGGACTCACGGCCAAGCCCGCGGCCGCCATCAGCAGCAGCAGCAGCAGCGGCGGCGCTCGCATGGCGGGGGCGGCGCCGCTAGCGGGGGCCGGCCCGCCGGGCGCGGCGCTGCCTCATACCGCATCGCGCATGGCGACCTACTCGCGCGGCCCGGGCCGCGGGGCCGCCGCGCGGGTTGGGCGCGCCGCCATGTCGCTCGCTCGCCGCTCGACTGACTCCCCCCGGGCGCGCATCGATCGCCCCGCGCCCCGCACCTGCCGCTGCGCGCGCCAGCGAAACCTCCACCACCATTATGTAACCGTGCGCGCGCACCCTGTGGTCCCGCCCGCTGACGCGACTGCCCTCTTACGACTGAATACATTTGCCACCCGCCCAGCAGCAAGCTACTGAACTCACGAAGCAACGGTTTAAAGTACTTAAACATAGAGGGCAGTCCTGAAAACACCCATGACCCCACTACCACCAGCGGCATCTTAACATTTATATTCTAATCTGTCTACGTAAAAATGTACCTAATAGAAATATACGAGTCTCAAGTCATTATTTCTTTCCAAAAATATGCATGGCATTTAAACTGAAACGGAAAATGGAAAGCACGAAAATTCAGGCACATTTTAAAACGATTTTTATGTCGTTACTTTACATGTAATCCCACACCCATCCACAACTGCTTTGAAAAGGCCCATGTTCTAAGGTAAAACTCATTGTTGTATCTGTTTAGTTAGTGGACAATAAATAAAGTACAACTAAAAATTAAGTAGGCCTTGAAAGTAACCGCGAACATATGTCCTACATTAAAGAAGTATCCTTAAATTAGACAACACTTCAACTACTTAAACAAAATGTTAGTTCTTGTTGACGCGCGTTAACACTCGTTAGCAAAACGCGCGTTTTACGCCCGTCATCTGAACACGTTTTAATGTTTTACACAAATACTGAAGAGAGAAACGATCTGAGTATGTGCTTATGAATAACTAATTTTAAACACTTCATTTACGATAGGATTACATAAAATCCTTTTTCTCGACCATTAATGTATTTTTATTTATTATTAAAGTATTTCAAAATTGACATTGAAGCAACTGTTACAAAATATATAAAAAATGTTTAAATAGTTTTGTAACAACGATTTTTATACATCTCGTTATTACAAACGTCACGGAATACCGTGCAGATTTAGTTGGTTTGAGTCCGATATACCACTTCACGCTGATAAAATGATGATCGTGAGGGTTATAGCAAGACAAAAATACGATATCTGGTGGATCATCATCATCATCAACAGCCGGTAGTAGTCCACGTGCTGGACACAGGCCTCTCCTCAGAAAGAAGGTGGTGGTGACTGATAAGTAAACTAGGTTAATAATAAAAATATATTTTGTTTAGTGCATCTACGAGTATATTCTGATGTCCGAAATACTCGGTTTTTCTGTTCGTCAATTAAAAACTTGACCTTAATCTCAATCGAGCGTAATTATTCTAGATTTGAAATTGTACAAATATTTTTTATTTTGTATCTAAGTCTCTGTGGCTTTAATCTTGGCATTTGATATTAATTTAATTTTTTACCTACAATGTACCGTCGAAGAAAAAAAAGTGAGGCCCCATAAAGGTCAACTCCGATTCCCAACTCCGCCAGGTCCTTGTGGAGGAGTGGAAGGAACGACTTGGGCAACCTTGGGTAAGAACCGTTATGGAGGATTGGCTCGAAAGGCATCACGGGACCCTCTTATACCGGCTGGCGCAGATGATCATCGGGAAAGGGAGCTTCGGGGATCACCTGTGTCTGATCCGCAAAGAGCCAACGCCTGAGTGTCACCACCGCAATGGCCGGGCCGTGGAAACGGCGCTCCACACGCTGTCAGAATGCCCGGCGTGGGATGAGCAGACGCATGACCTCGTGGCAGCCATCAGAGTGAGCTGTGAGCATGTTATGCTTGCGAAGAAGACGGCGGAGCGGGACCAGGATAGATTTAGAACTTTCCCGGTTCACCAGGCCCGGGAACGGGCCAGGTACCGTAGACGACTCAGGCATTGGAGGTCGCAGAACGACCTCCGCCCTCTATAAGCGCAGGCCTGGGGGTGATGGATGAGGCCATCTGTCACCCTAGCAGAAGTAGGCGCGCGTGCCCTTTAGATTGCAGAACGGGAACACCGTGGTTCCCACACACGAGGGGGTCATCTACAAGCCGTAGATGGCCCGGGATCCGTCGGGGTACTAGGAATTTCTTTCCTAGGGTACACCTGGTTCCCCGGCTACTACTACTAATACTACTGGTAACAGGTCTGGCAAAAAAAAATGTCTGGTCAGGCAATAACAGCAGCTGTTTACTGTGCCGAACTTCGAACAATGATGGCGAAACTGGCAGCGAAATAGCCCCGTCTCGTGAAGCGATCATCACTAATATTACTCTATGATAACTCTAGACCTCACACTGAACGAGAACTTGCTGTAACTCTACAGAAGCTGCAGTTAGAAACCATACGTCATCCTGCGTACTCGCCAGACCTTGCCCCAACGGACTACCATTTTTTTCGTGATTTGGACAATTTTGCATGTGATAAAAAAAATCTTCCCAGGAGGCAGTACAAAATGCTTTCAGACAGTTTGTCGAATCTAAATCCCAGAGATCTATCATAAAGGCATAAATGAACTTCCGTTTAGAGGGCAGCAGTGTATAGATAATGAGGGTAAAGTATTATTAAACGACTTCAAAAAGGAGGAGGTTTTCAATTCGTTTGAATCTTTTTTTTGATTGAATAAATATGTTATATGTTAGAAAAAAATTAAACTCAATTTTTCAGTACAAATCGGCAATTTCATACTTTAACCCCTAATATTAACTGAAACATGGTCACATGATTTTGGTCACAAGCCTTGGACGATGAAAAAAAAGTTCGTTTCACCTGTAAGAACAAGTAAGTTTGGGTGCACTCTTTAGTATTTGTCCCTAGAATATACCTACTGGAGTTACGACAGTAAAACAATAGAGTGTCTTGTTTACCGACATATTTAAATAAATATCCTAACTTTGAAGATTTTAGGATTCCAATAGTAGATATTGCTTTGTAATGGCAATATCCACTTAGAAAGTGATGACAGGTAACGTATAAGAAACTAAAAACAGCCATAGCAGTAGTCAATTTGGCTGATTTAACTATAAAAAAAGAAGTTTGCTGTGATGATCCGTGGTGTCTTTAAAACTTTTGAATAAATCAAAGACCTACCTGCACAGCCTATTTAAGTTTAACGACCCATTTGTAAAATTTGCTCTATATTGACAGTATGAGCACAAGATACCCAGCGGAATTCCCAAACTTCAATGTCAAAAAGCTTTAAAAGCACTAATATGCAACGTTTGTTTGTGAACTGGTATTTGATGTGTTCATATGGTTTATACGGGCATTACACCGATCATATTGCGCATTAATTCCCATTGTAATTAGATGGCAAACGAGGAAATTGCTCCGCGTAAACAACAAGCAAAATGACGTCAAATCATCTATCTCTCTCGTTCTTTGGAGTTTACACGTTGTTCTTGTCCCACAATTGTGACGTAATGTGCCCGCGCACTCTTGGAGTGCCGAGTGCATTCACTCGCCGCGTAAACAGCGCAAGATCACAACGTAAACCATATTCTCTTGGAGAATCGTTTCGATCATTGTGTAACATTAAATAGATTTCATAGTTACGATATTCGAATTCTCTTTAAATATAGTTAGTATTACAATTTTAGTTTATTAGTGCTGTGCGAGAAAGTTTGAAGGGACTGAGAAACTGACCGAAGGTTAAATTTCATCACACGATGGACGCCACAAGTAAGTAAACTGGTTTTAGATCCTATAGGTGTTGCTATTAAAAAGATAACATCTTACAATTATTTTTTGATTCAATACCAACAATAATAATAACACAAAGATATAAACTATTAGTTGAAATTATTCCAAATAATACGAAAGCCATTTCTGTGTTTACTCAGAATTAATGTGAGTATACTCGCGTTTTTATGGCATTATTTGAGAACTAACAGTTCGTAAAAAGATTTACGTACCTGTATTTTTTGTTTTTATCTAGACTGCCTGCATCTTAACTATAAGCAAGTACTAAGGGTAATAAATTATTACCAATTCTTAACAATGTACACAACAATGAAACATATTGATGACCATCAGTTCAGTTAAGTAATCATTTTCAGCGAATCGCGAGTCGATCATAATGGTTGGATTACGATACGAGTTATTGTTTTAAATCGTGACAGCTGGCATTATGACTTTCAATTCGACCAAAGCCTTGTAAAGTCACGCCCTAAATACCACGAGTTATAGTTTCATCAGAGCCGTTCACAACTGACAAACGATAATTCTTACCACTGTCAGACTATCATCATTACAAACAACAAATTTCTTGTAATGCGCCAACCTCATGTATTAATACTTACTACTACTTACATATGAGTACAATTTAGTCATTCAACGTTGCTTTGAATCGTCCGTAGCGTAGGCCCTCTAAACAAGGCTACTGTAGCTATATTTTAATTCTTACTCAGTTTTTGTTAGACTGTATTAGCATAAATAAAACTTGAGTCATCGCAGTTTTTAAAATGCAAAAGTAGGTAATTAGATATTAGTCACTCCCTTAGGCTACAACGTAACCTTGATAGTGTTTCTCAATAAACAGACCATCAGTAACCAAATATTTTCCCAAATCTGACAGAGATAGTTGAGATTTAGACATTCAGAAAAACAAACAATATTTCCAGAGTTTTCTCCTGACCAATTCTTTGTTAAAATCGTTACTGACTACTGCAATTATTGCGCAAAACCATCGTTAAGGATTGCTAATGAGCAAATGCAGATGTTCTCTGGACTTAATTAATTAATTACCTACATACTGACGTGACAGTTACCAGACATATACAACCCATAAACGCCGAATAAATTAAAAACCAAAATTAACTAATATCATCACACCTCACATTAATAGTACCTATAATGGCGAATGTTTGTGAGTTTGTATTTTTGTAACTTTTTTACGTGGCCCAGCCGGTAGGGGCCAATTTGGATAAAATTAGTATTGTGGTAGCTGACTGCCTGGTTAATACATAGGCTGCATTTTATCCCGAAAAATTGGAGATTTTAGTGAATCTCATTAACCGCGGGTAACACCGCAGGGTGCGGCTAGTAATGTATAATTATTCAATTACGCTTCTTATGTAACTATGTTTATTTTATTGACCTCTAATGGAGTATAAAAAATGCCAAGGTCACTATCATAGGCGTTTGGACTGCATTGTCATGATGTTCCAACTTTTTAAGTGGATCGTCCTGTATTATAATTACTTGCATGTAACAGGAATACGTTGTCATCATCATCATCAACAGCCTTTATTAGTCTACTGCTGAAGATAAGCCTCTCCTTAAAAAGGAGATTTATGCCTACTATGCCACGCTGGCCAGATGGGTTGATATAGGGTTTGTTTCAAGTTTTGCTTCTCTTTGCAGTACTGTTGTCCTGCGTAGTTTGCTCCCTTAGATGATGATGATTATGATGTTATTCCTTTCCGTAGGGCCATTGATAATAAACGTTAGCTTCGTATAGGTAATTAAGAAGTTATAAATAGCTATAATTCTTGCTTCGTCCCTCTAAAGGCGACAATAAGTCAACAGTCAAGTTGATTTAGAAGCAAATTTGATTTATAAGGCTCTAAAACTAGCCCAGCTGTAAGAGAAAGTTAGCAAAGTAAACAACTGAACTTCGGTACATTGAGTGCGTAACCTCAAATCTAGGTTGACTTTTTCTATTTTGTTAGCAAATTGTTTCATGAACTCGATATTAATAGTGATTGGGGGGCAAGCCGTTAAGCCTTTACATTTAAACCATTATTAACTTCCCGTCCCTTATTTTAAACTTTGTGATATTTAAGTAATACTAGCTTTTGCCAGCGGCTGCGCTTGCGTGTATGTCAGTTATCGCTGTAAAAAGTAGCCTATGTTACAGGCTGATAATATAGTTGGTGATTTTTTAATCGGTTTAATAGTTTGGGCGCAAAAGGATAACAAACAAACTCACTTTCACATTTATAATATAAGAATGGACATTTTAGCTATTATAATGTACAAATATGAACGCCATGAGTCGAACAAATTACAATTAATAATAGTACTATTCTTCCAGTATTAAATACTACTCAAGGATAGGTCGAAGTGAAAATCAGTGCACCAACGTACTATGACTAATTCTGATGATGAAAATTACTGGGTACACGGCAGACCTTAGGAACTTACCGCAGGAACTGCTTGTTATCGTTATAAACTGCAAATATTTTGATGACGTCTTAGACAATTGTTTTTGAATTGAATCCAATACTGCATATGGTTTGCTGCTTACGGCTATAATTACTGTAAATACACTTGACAAAATTATGAACTTATTATTTTGAACGGTCTTAATATCATTTATTTAAGTCTACTAAAGTACGATCTTGGATGTTGCTTGATCTATAAACTGTATCCATCAGAGAGGAGAATTTTGAATGAACTATTAGTACAGTGGCTCTTGTGTTAGTTCGTTAACTAGACTATGACCTTATAAACCAGCAAAAAACTTAGCTAGCTCTGAAGAAATAGTCATTGATGATTATAATATAAAACATCAACCTTCAGCACGACTAGCGCCATATTTCGAAATAACGTGAACTGTCTAACTTGAAAATTAATAATCACCATAACTAAACATGACCTTTTGACTTCCTGAACCAGTGTTGCCAAACTCTAATTATGCCTCGTCTTTCCAGTGGAAAATAAAATGGGCCTACCACCACCTTACGAACAGACAAGACCTAACCCTGCACCGCCACCTTCATATTTTGGAGACAATCCTCCCCCTCCACCTGGGTTTGCAGCCGTCCCGCCGCCTGCGGCCCCACGGACAACAGTTATTACAACGCCTGCACCTGGACATGGACAAGGAGCAACCCGTCAAGGGAAAATGGGTCCGGGACCAACGGGTACCACCTGTATGACGTGTAATAAGACCGTTGTAACTACAGTCGAATATGTCCCTAATAATCGCACACATATCATTTCAGCAGCGCTATGTGTCTTAGCTGGGTAAGCAATTTTTTCTAATACGCTGATATGAAAAACTATTGTTTTTTTAACCTCAATATTTATATCGTACATTTTGTCATATTTTCATTGTACAATTTTAGTGTTAAATCAGTTAATTTCTGATTCTAAACAACAAATACAAGTGTACGATAAAGTGTTCGTAGATAAAATATAATCGATCCAGCTGATAGCAAGCGGACTGGGCTTACCGGCCCTTTTTATAAAAACCTGTTAATGACATTTAATGAACTACATTCTATGCTATAGTCATTTGGTAAAACCCCGACATGAAGGTCATTCTGATAAATGGAACGTAAACTTTCATCTTTAATTTTTATATATTATATCTTCAAATTATCACAGTGATTTTTCTAGAATACGATTTAAAAATACAACATTATACACGTATTTCAGCTTTATTGGTTGAGCTACTTTTTCTTAAATAAGAACACACAAACTCCTACAGGTAACAAGATAATTTTATGTTTGGTCAAAATTTATATCTCTTTGATCCTCCCTGATCCTACAATATTCATGTTTATCTTTCGGGTACTGAAATATGAAATAAAAAAATATGGAATGATAGAATAAAAAAAGGATCAATAATAATATTAGGTATAAATGTGAAATTTTTGGATGGATGGCTAAATGTTTATCACTCAATCACGCTAGAACAGCACAACGGCATTAAATGAAATTCGGTATAGATATTATATATTATTCTTCACATCGTTTCGATGGCAACACTTTACACGGTTTTGGACCTGTGCTCGGCGACGCGAATAATAATAATAATAATAATAATACTTTATTTACGCAAAAATATACATATTCGAATACACAGTTGATAGGAATTTACAATTTTGTCTTTAAGATGTGAAACTCTGTCCCTTAAACTAGGTGAGTTACCTGTATCTTAAGAGACAGTGTTCAGCCTTACAGATTCATCTTATATTAGTTCTGTTAGAGTTGTGTCTTTCGATAGATAATATGCGGTTGGATGTTTATGTGTGTATGTTCGTGTGTGTGTGTGTGTGTGTGTGTGTGTGTGTGTGTGTGTGTGTGTGAGTGTGTGTGTCTGTGGGCGTGCGTGTGTGTGTGTGGGCGTGTGTGGGCGTGCGTGTGCATGTGTGTATGTATGCGTGCGCGTGTGTGTAGGCGCAGAAGATCCTACATGTGCTAGAGTACATAATATAATTTAATGTGAGGCTATTTCCTATTTGAGGTACATTAGTAACGACTCCGTGCGGGAATAGTCTTGTTTCAGGAGCCATTCTGTAACTTTTTGCTTAACTGTATACCTATTTGAACCTAGTATTTTTAATTCTTTGTGTGTTTTTTTGTATATATGGGCGCCCAGTACATAAAAGTGGTGTTTTGCGAAAGCGGTTCTGTGTCGGACACTTAGTGGAATAGCGACGCGATATATATTATATTAGGGAGTAGTAGTAGGTATAGGACATTATAGCCCCCCAGAAATCGACCTGAACTCAAGCGAAGCCACGGGGTACAAACTCAGCTCAAAAACAAAACTGAGACCAAACGTTGACCTTATATTTTTTGTGGGTTATCATCACAGATTCCTAATATTTGAGATAGACTGTAATTGAGTGTGATGTGTGTGTGTGTCTTATTATTTCACAAGACACTATTAACTGAAGTTGACATTGCGTCGAACCCGTTGTTAAAGACCCTACTAATTAGAGCCCATATAATTTTCTTATCTGGAATTCCTATTTAATGTCAATTTGCAACATTGAAAGCGAATGCTCTACCGCCTCGTACTCTGCAATCGTTAGGGCTCCTCAATTTCTTTTATCAATCTTGTATTCTAATATTGACACCGAGTTAGGTTTTTAAATGGAGTTCCAATTAAAAGACCATTAGTCTTTTATTCTTACCTATAGTACCAAAAGGGTTATCGTTTTATATAAATGCACGAGTATACGAGTAAATATATGTATGTAAAGGTTAATCCTTTTGAGATAATTCCTATTTATCATTTATACATGTACCTTCTGTATGTATATCAACATGATTACCAATCCAATCGGCAACCGTTGTAAAAAGTAATAGGGAAGTATGTAGTTATGTTGGCCATGTATGTGAGGAAAAATTTTGCTCTTCGGGCAATCCTACGATGTTATTGACCGTTCATATAGATAGAAATGGACACGTGATCGATTCTACTCGTACTTTACCAAGTGATGTTTTTTAAACGCCTTAAAAAACTTTAATTCAGTACTGCTTGTAGAATATTAATGCAGTTGAGTTTGTATGGCTAAAGGCACACCTACCAACTGACATTCACCAGACTTAGGCAATTATTACAATTCGCACCCTTAGTAATATAAGGGGGTCAAATCAAAGTTTTGGAGAAGTGTGATGTTAATGCTAATGGCACAAAATAAATTTCTCTAACGGTTAGCACTCACAGGGAAAGAAAAAGGATAATAATGACTCAGTCCATATGTATGTGTCTCTCTCTCTCTGGTTATATGAACCGCCGCGACACAGGAATTTATTTTGCGTGAGTTGTACAAGAATATTTATTATTATAAGCCTTCATTCGGGCACAACTATATATCTTTGTCATTCAATCATCATTCTTTTTTTCCATTTTTGTGTGTCCGTTTGCCAGGTGGCAAAGGCCCCCTCCAATCTTCTCCATTTTGGCCTTTCTATGGCCACTCCACCCCATGTTATTCCCGCGACTTGTCTAATATCATCCTTCCACCTTCTCTGTGATCTACCTTTCTATCTTTTTCCATCTCTTGGGTACCATTGTGTGATTATTTTACTCCATTTATCCTTTCCTCTGATCATGTGTCCCGCCTATTTCCACTTTTGTCTCCTTATTTTCAAAGTTATGATACAAGAGGTATGAAGTACAGGAAGAAAAGGTATATTTGAAATTTAATATATCAAGCTGCTTAGACTAGCTGCTCTGCTTGCAAAAAATATACACACATACATTACACACATATACTCGAAAATCATAACCCTCTCACCCTCATAATTATCTTCACTCTCTCTTACCTCAGTTGAAATATTCTTCTTAACTAAAATATATATTTCAGTTCTTTTGTTTTTCTTCCTTCGGTTATAAAAATACATATTCTGACACCTCTCTCGTAAATTAAAATATAATAGTATAATTAAAAACTTCGAAACTTCATACATTAAGTTTACAATAAATAATTTGTCTATCTGTTCATTACCTCCAAACTTTTAAATTTGCTATTTTCGTTGCAGGAACAGTCTAGCAATACAATACATCAAAAAGCAGTGCATCTTGACCTCCGTTTTATTTGAAACTTTGTACAAAGTAGAGGTCATTACAAATTTATTGTTTCTTTTAAATGTTGTATACACAAAATTAAATAAACAGCGGTAAATATATTGATACAAAGCAATTTCTTTATATCTGCGTTAATTTCTTAGTTTTGTTTATGAAATCTTTTAAAATAATCTCTTAGTAAAATCTAAAAGTAACTACGGCTGGGTAGTGGGTCACTATTACCCCTTTGGTCTTTGGACCTTACTAAGTCAAGCCCAAGGTGTCAGATTCGTTAAACGACCTTAATCCACATAGAGTTCCAATTGCCACATACTATTTTATAAATATAAAATTATGACATTACATCTCAAAACTATTTGTTTCGGCATTTAAAAAAATTAAAATGAAAATTATTATTATATAATGTTCTAAGCCTTTATAGGAAAATATCCGAATTTACATGTGTGTATATGTTTCAGATGCTGTTGTGGCTGCTTCGTCCCTTACTGCATGCGATCATGCAAAACTGCCAATCACTATTGCCCACAATGCAAGGCTTTCATCGGTTCCTACTCGCCATCTTGATTCCATGAATAGTATTTAAAAAAGTTATATGTTTCATGTGTAGCAGGCCGTTGTGAATGTTTAGGCAATATTTTCTACTTGATCAGTGAAACCTTATAAAAAATTTGTAGATAGTTTTTTTAAGATGGAACAAATGACAATCTAACCTATATTACGACACCTATACAATGATAAGGAGTTTGTTTATTAAAATGCGCTTATCTCATTGTCTTAAAGTAAAGTGTGTATTCAAACAAACTTATCCGAAGAATAATGGTCGCGTCTACAACTGATAAGTGTTACAACGGACGGTTAATAAAAGTTTTAAATACGTATAAGTTAGGAACAAAGACATTAGGGATGTTAGCTTTTTAGTATGCAACCTGTTTGCATTAGTCCCGTTCTACCATATTTCCTAAAGAAAATGTTAAGTTAGAATACATTCACACATACATTTAATATTCAATACATAGTATTATCATGTCCATAAGAGTGGTAAACACTGCGTGGTATGGTTAGCAATACTATAAACCTGAAGCGTTAGTTTATGTGTGTTGCGATAATCTCAGAATCTGATAGATCGATTTTATTGAATCTTGTTATGTTGGATAACATTTTATTGTTTAAGGTTATAATAGTCTGTAATCATAATGCTGCTTAGGCCCATAAAAGTAAACAACAAAAATTAAACAACTATAAGCAAAGCGCGATGAAAATTCTAAATAATATACCTAGTTACGCTCGTGAAACGCAGAAAGCAGTTTCAGTAAATACGTGCTATGACTTCTAATAAAATGGGTTTTTGCAATTACTATCATTAATTACATTTTCCTAGATAGATAAGAAGGACTTAAAAACTGTGTGTCTAATAAAATGTAACACTTTTAGTGAGTTTTTAAGGCCATTTCTACCTAAATATGAAATTTAATTAGAATTTTTAATTATGTAATAATAATAATAAGGCCGTACTTATAATGTTACTAAAAATACTTGTAAGCGCACTCTTCAAACTTTAAGAAATAGGCTGTTTTTTTTAAATATAATCACTACGTAATAGGCGTCTTTTTTAACTGTGAACCAAATTATTTTTTATAGAATATTCTATAACTTCGAAGGCACATAAATATTTCAATTAGGAAGAAAGTAATTATTATTACATAAGCAGAAAGTTAAATAAAAGGTACTCGTGTTGCTTATGTAACAATATGTAGGTATTATATTGTCACAAGAAAGGAAATCTGAAAGGTGTCTTTCTTACACTAGGGACTTATTAGATCTAAGGTAAAATTTAAAAAAGAGACATTCTTAAGTAAAAATTTGTGTTACTTTTTTAAATAATAAAGTTAATGGGTCTGCTTTTTTTGGCGGGTATTAAATGTAGTTTTTGGCTATTATTTTATATTAACCATAATTTTTTATTTGGTCATTAATGAATTATACCTAATAATATAATGAACTTTTCTGTTTCTTTTAAAACAGTTAGTATAAGCATACATAAGGTTTTATTAGCAAATTTTACGCACGAGATAGCACGCACGAGTTCAGTGAACTGCTAATGTTAATGGAATAATTTAATCTATTTACTGAAAAAAAAATAAGGAACATTCTATTTTTTAATTAAAATATTGATTAGGTATTTCAATGAAGCAAATAACTAAATTTACATATATATATTATAGCTGAGCCTCGCGCAAGCAATAGAATTTTTTTGTTTGTTTGTCAACAACAATATTCCCTATTTGAATTTTCACAAAATACAAAGATTATGTGTTTTATAAATTTAATATTTCTTAAGATTCTGAACTTCTTAATGGGATGGATAAACGTATTTTATCTATATTAAATTCTGTGATATACTTTTTATATTTTATAAATTCTATAAAAATTATGAAATAAAATAAATAAATTGGAAAGTGATTTATTTATAATATGACCTCCTTTATTTTCTGCCTGTTATTTGCGGAATAACTGTATAACTATGTATTATTATCAAATAATTATTATACGATAATATACACTAAAGATCGATTACTTGAAATGTCCTTGTTTAGACACCGTATAGGTCAACATATACTGGGTGCCTGCAAATTGTTAAAGCCATTTTCGCAAAACTTTAAATTTTAAAAATGTTATCTACTACAATATTTCATCACATCATCAACAGCCTTTAATAGTCCACTACTGGACATAGGCCTATCCTTAAAAAGGAGGTTATGGTCTACTATACAACGCTGGTCTGTTATCCTGCGTAGTTTTCTCCTTTAGTCGGTTCTTACGATACCCACGGGATGAAAAGGGGTGGTGACTCTCTGCATTCTTAATCCGTTACAATCTTTCACATACTCTAAATTTCACAATTCAAATTTTCTAAATGCATGCAAAAGCTATTAATATAAACGACTTAACATTTGGTGCCGTGTGTAACGATCTAGTAATCATATTTAATGGTCTTGAAATAACTATTCGTGGGTAGGTACATAGTTACTAATAATCACTATTTTCATGAATATTATTTTCTTCCAAAATTCAATATTCTTACTTACTTCAAACTTGAAATTGTGGGTCTTAATACTATTTTTAAACCCCAAGAAGTTAAAGAAATAAGAACATCTAACCGCCGCGGTCAGAACGCCTCTAGTTTGCTCAAATGTAGGTTTTTGTTACCGGTGCTTTCTATCTTACATCTTCAAATAGCATCAAAGAACAAAACAGCGGACTTTATTACTAACCAGGTTATATTTTTTTATGTTGGAGGGGGCAGACGAGCAGACGGGTTACCTGATGGAAACTGACCATTAGGTCACAATGCCACGTGGTGGCGCGTCACGTGGTGAATCACAAACGCGAAATGGCGGAAAATTGTGACCGGTATTAGTCCGAACAATGCTTCGGTGCACTCTCCATGATATATACCAATATTATAGACTTATGTTTCTACTACTTCTACACGATCTGACATGTATTCATTTAGATCAGGGATTCCTGAGCTATTTTGGGCAAGAGCCCCTTTTTCCAAAATAAACTGATACCTCATACCCCTATAGCCAAAGTAGTTTGAAATCCTATCTCTAGTATTTTTACTACTAATACAAAATGATTATAAATTAAAAAAATAATTAATTATAAAATTGCAGTTTGTTAAGTGAGCAAACTTGTTATGATCTTTTCATCAAAATTTAACAAAATAAATATACATAAAGTCTTATAACAAGTTGGTACGTAACACAACTTATACAGTATCTTGAAAGTCTCAGACCTCGTCAAGCCCAAGTGGTCGATTTCGACCCCAAGGGGGCGATATCGACCACTTTGGGAATCCCTGATTTAGATTGTAATAAAAAAAATAACCATTGTGTTGCCTTCTTTTTAAACATGGTCAGATGTAAATCTTTAAAAGCGTAATTTGTTATACGAGTATACCTTTCCTCGATTTTCGGGTTCTTGCATCCAGCTCCTGCCAGCCATCTTGCTCAGATCGTCACTTCACCTGGCCTGTGGGCTATTTAATTTATCTCATCTGCTCTAATAATACACCTGCAACACACAGCTCTGCATCACCCAATGGTTGACTAGAAGAAAGGCCTATGGCATTAAGACCGCCCTATGCAATGTATTTTCAGGAAGTATAGAAATGAAATAGCGTCTATAGATTATTATAATAAACTATAGACGCTATACATTCAAGTTTTTATAGGTAGACATTTATACTATAATAAATGGTATCATCTATTTATAAAAATGTTAACTTGATTTGTGTACGCACTCAAAAATTACATCTAGTCATAGAAGAAATTATCGTGTTCATTACAGTTTTTTACCATACCATAGTACCATAGTACAGACACTGTCTGATCCGACACCAGACAGTGTCTGTACTATGGTAGCCAGACTCCTAATAAACATACTTATATATTTATAAATACACACATATCATAGATAAATTACACTCAGACACAGAACAAATGATTGTCCTCATTACACAATTATATTTCCTGTGTGGAAATCGAACCCATGATCACTGTCTTATGGATCAGGATCACTCATTACTAAACACCAGGTCAACATGCTCGTCCATTAATAGTTGATCCTTTTATATTTGATCCAAGTCGATGATGATATCGTTATCAGTTATAAAACGTTTTATATACGCAGCCATAAAACACTTTATTTTGTGCACCCATATTACATGAATAAGATAATAATAGGAATAAAAGCATTTGTGCATTAGAAGATAAACGGTGCGTTTACCGAAAATCACAACGAAAACGTATTCCATCTACTTATGGGCGCCTGGTATGACTCCAAACGTGGACTCGGAAGGGCGAGAGCCCCAGTCCGGTCTGAAACTAGACTGTTGTTTAACTAACACACGATACCAACGACCTCCGCGTATGCCGGACGTCGCCTAAATGGAGAAAGTAGCCGAAGAGTGTGCCTGCGCGCTGAGGGGTCCGAATGTCTTAATAACAGCAGTTCCCGGATCTCTCCTATTACAGGCGCAGAGTAGCACACCGTGTGGTTTTCATCATCATCATCATCAACAGCCTTTACTAGTCCACTGCTGGACATAGGCCTCTCCTTAGGAAGGAGGTTTTGGCCTACTATACCACGCTGGCCAGACGGGTTGGTATAGGGTTTGTTTCAAGTTTTCCTTCTCTCTGCAGTGCTGTTGTCCTGCGTAGTTTGCTTCCTTAGTCGCCTCTTACGACACCCACGGGATGAATAGAGGTGGTGACTCTGTATTCTTAATCCGTCACCACACGGAAAAGTGTGGTTTTAGTCGGTCCGATTCCGACCCACCACCCGCAAACCCCGGTGGGGTGACAGCCCGACTCTGCGCCTGTAATAGGAGAGATCCGGGAACTGCTGTTATTATATTATCCACACGTAAAAAAAAAATACCTTACCCGATATTGCCCGATAATTTTATTTACAGTTGTATCAGCTATATGTTGGACTAAATTTGAGCTAAAATCTCTAGAATGATTTTGATTTACTGGACTGTAACCCTAAAATTATAAATGAGTAGACTCAGACTGCAATATTTTTTATACTCGACGACGACTAAATCAATTCTGTGAATGAACTGGTAATGCTGCCTTAATGGTAGCTAATGTATGTATTTTCAAAATATTCCATCTTTTAACATTACAGTAGATAAAAAGTAGTAAGTAGATAAAAAGTAAAATAATACTATGCTTTTGAGTAAAAGATATATTAAGTATAATATTACAAAAATATATTAGCAATCCTCTGTACCATCACTATATTAAAACAAAATATTTGGTGTTTTTCGTCAATTCAAGAACTCAATTTGAATGTAACCTTACACAATACAGAAAACTTAAATTATTATAATAATTTTAGTTGCCTCGTAGTCAGGACATTGCATATTCTAAATACGTATTAAGTCTTAAAGTATCGTTGATCTTGAATACATTCCCAAATACCGACGACAATTAGGGCAGTAATGTTCTACATTCTTCCACCTTTTTGTGACGTAAGGGATTATACAGCAACACAACCACCTGGAAACGATAAGTAAAATAATTTACCAGTTCATTTGCTTCCTAAGTAATCTGATGAATATTGTAGTTTTTTTTTATAAACCAACTACTTACTTATCGTAATTTAACAATAACAACTTCACGCAACACGGCCGTCTGATCCTAAACTAACCACCTGTAGATGATATTAGTTTAACCAGACTGCTGATAAACATATTAAAAATGCCATATCATAGATAAATTACACCGAAATATGAGCCCTGGGCGAAAATAGATCAAACGATCTGTGTCTTAGCAATCATAATCACTAACCACCAAACCAAAAGGCCAGTCAAGAAATAACGAATCTAAAAAGCACCTTGAGTTTTCTGTTTATAGGCTATAATATACTCGTATGACGATTTTATATAAGATATATAATTCTATAATTTAAGATTACTTTTTGACCTCGTTTTTTTTTTGAAAAATGAACATTAACGCAAGCATGGCCACAAACAAACACTAGTATACTACAAAATAAACACATAATTATTCAGCATCTGCAGCATAACTTGCGGGTAATATATTTAAATGTAGTATTTTTTTTCAGGAGGCCATACATAATAAGCATACCTAATGTATGTTTAACATTTTTTGTTATATAATATGAAGATCATTGACTTCAACTCAGATCAGTTTCTGTCAGAGATCAATGAACCTCGATCTGAGCCTAAGTAAACTCTGTTGACTTTTGTACACAACTGTGTATAAAAGTCAATAAAGATTACAAAACCGTTTCGTAAGGAATGAACATATTATTGTTTATTTGTATTTTATTGTTTTTAGACCACAAATAAAGGTTACAAACACTAACAGCAACACAACACTAGATCATGGTCGTTTGGTATTTATTATCTAGACGTATTTCTTAGCGTTCCATAGATTCACCGTGCGGATGCCGGGTCCCTCGCGTGATAGATGGAGACAACACATGCGACTTCGACAGCGCCTGGGACCCAGGAGTAGGTTTAGGGAGAACTCCTTGCGACGAGTCAACGCTCACCTCCACTGTCTGTTGTGTTACCTAACCATATTTGATACGAGCCTAGCAATGCCGCTTTTGATATTCGTTCAAGAAAAGAGCTTTATGAAGCTCTTTGGCAATCCAAGATCTTCAAGTAGGTTAAAGAGAGATTTAGCTGGTTTACCCCTTGCACCCACTTCCACGGCATACAACGCAACGAAATAATCATTTTTAGTTATTTCGTTTGTTATACAAAGTACTTATTTCTTTTTAAAGGGTAGTCTTTAGTGATGTTCGTTTCCGGCACCGTGAGTTATAACTTGTACAATACGCTTAATTGACTTTGCATAAAGAAATATGTCTGGTCTGGTCGCCGAGGCACAGATATCCTCCGGTATTCTGCAATGATTTTATTATTATTATTATATTAGTCACTGGCGGTATTTGTAATTGAGTATCGTTTGTAAAATCTTATTTGTTGAGCCTTCTTTTACAAAATCTATGCCAGTTCTTATGTTTGTGGTTTTTTATTTCTTCGCTCTCGCCAGTGATAAACTTATAGCTTCGCGTATGATTTGTAATACCCTATCATGGCGACGTGAATAATGACCCCGATCTAATAGCGCCTTACAACCTGTTAGTAAGTGCCTGGCTTACTTGGTACAAGCCTTTTCTGTAGCTTTTCCCACCTTACTAGGTTGTTTTGATCGGGGTGAGTTAATTGAAAGGCGTTGAGGAGTTGAATACACTAAAACTCATCTATGGTAATTGAGATATTCTGTTAAGACAAAACTGACGGAGTAGAATAAAACGAACCAATACAAACATTTTCCATTTTTAAACGACAAACGAAGAATAAGAAAAAAACAATCTAAAATATTAATCTGTCACATACACACTGGGTGTTTGTGTGTGTGAAACTAAATATTTTAGAAATAGACAAACGTTGGGGCATAAAGCCAGTGGCGTGGGACGGTGCACAATAGCGTGTTTTACGTATATGTAGATACCAAAAAGTCAAGTCATTAAGTGAGTAGGTGCATAATTAATCACAATTTCTAAACATGTAAGGATCCCGAAAGTGAATTCCAAAATCATGAAGTAGTGTTTATCATTAAATAATGAGTATTCAAAGTGGACATGTAATGCGATTTGCATTTAAAACTTCACTCGGTTGCATTTCAAGCCCCCACTGCCTTCTATTATTTTTTATACTTCAGTGTTCAATTGTTGTGAAAAAAATCGGTTGTCTGTAAAGTTGGTTTACTGACGATAGTTGAACGTGACAACATCATAAGAAAATACTGATGGAATGGTTGCATTTTTCAAAAATGTATTATTGTATACGAGTAGTAGCTGTCCACGCGGACGCATCGCTCACTCAAGTTCCTACTTGAGAGAGACAGATGTCGAACGCTGCCGAACGCGGAGGCCGATTGTGCCTCTTTGTCACTCGTTCCGCGCTCTCGCTTGCACTTCACGCCTTAAATGGAACGCCTCAGAGCGAGGTAACGCCGCATGAGTCATGTTTTTTCGTGCGTGCAGCCGGCTCCATCGAAATATAAGACGTTGTCACGTCAAAAAATGTGAGAGTATGTTGAAGGTGAGTATTTCCTGATATATCTTTTAAGTCTATGAAATTGTCGTATATTTGTTTAATTATGTTCAAAAAAAAGCATGCTTTAGTTAAATAATACATCAAATCGTAGGACATCATTTCGCACGAGGCGCACGACTATACATCATTTCTTTTCGGGAGTAAGTATGGTTTGACTCAGAAGGAATTTTTCGAAGTTTGGGCTTTCACCTCAAAGAAGCAATATTATCCTTCATTTTTTTTAAACTTGGTCTCAAAATTGACAATAGTAGATACAATTTAGCAAATGAAAATGCAGATAAATGGAATCACATTACTAAAATATGTTGTTAGCTCATTGTACTGCAAAATATAAGAGAACTGATCATGTAGAACGATTTAATAGAAAAACATTAACAATTTTTGGTGTCTAAATAAGTCAAACACGCCACTGTGGTGTGAGCCGTGGAAATTGGTAACAGAGTCCTACCGTCGATTAGTATACGAGTAATAAAATAATTGACGTAAACATACTGACATAAAAACCTCTAAAAATTAAAAAAGTTTTACGGTAATATATGAACATTAATTGCACAATACAGTGAATTTTCTATCCAAATTAGATAAGAATATTTCTTACCAAAACAATATACCCAGAATGAGAGCAAGGAAATGCGTAATATTAGTATTTCTGTAATTAGCTTTTGTCATGACGTCTTCTTGGCAATAAGGACACCGCATACCGACTGGTTCCGATCCGACCTTCAAAAGGTCCATTTCGATACACACTGCATTGTCGGTGCTCTGTCCTATCTGGCGGTAGGCATTAGATTCCACTGTAACATAAATATTAGGACAACGTTAACAGTTGGTTTGAGAACTGCAGCAGACAGTGGACTTTGCGTCTGTAAATCACACACCAACATCAGAATAAAAAACGTAGAGTTCTGCTAAATTATTCTTCGTCTTGATGAGCTACATAACCTTTGTATGAGTGACATACATTCTGAATATCTTAGACCTATATGTAATATTACTGCCAAGTAACAAAAATATCACGTAACCTATGCTGACATAGAAACCTGTTGTAATTTCGTTCGTAAAATTCTTATATAATTTCTTTTTAAAGCTGTTAAAGTTTTGTGACTTCTCTATATACTCATACTCAGTAATTAATAATTAGTAAAATGTATACGCAAAAAAGATTCGTAGGTTACTGAAAATAACAAGTTTTAGTAAGCTCGGTTACTAAAAAAGTAAACGCAATTGAGGAAATACTTGTACCAACGCCATAAAAAGGGAAAATTTGTAAGAGGTCATTTCATGTAAGAGTTCTTAAATCACAATAAAGTACCTAAGTTTTTATACCTACTTACTTGTTAACCACTAGACTTTCGTAACACATTTACAGTTTGTGCTAGTCTTAAATAAAAACAAAACAAAGTATTATATTTTACTATTAAAAATGAGACACGAGACATTTAGATGTATTGTCCAAATTGTAACTAATCGATATCTTGTAATTGAAAGGTTTTTTCAAGTACGAGATATTGATTAGTTACAATCACAAAAAAAATAGGTAAATCTATACGTATTGAAATATTCATGAAACATTTGACTTACTTGTTTACAAAATTCACTGGGCACGATAACATTGAGTGTCACCTAAACCGATAACTTAAATATCACTTCTTAATTTAAAAAAAACATACACTTCTTATGCAATTCAAACTAATATACATATATTTAAAATATACAACCATAACAGATATAAGACTTTTTACAGTAGGCTCCTAATTGAGAAGTACAAGGCAGCGGTAAACAGGTATGATATCTATGAAATACCGATATCTATTAGTTATCTTATAGATAATGTTTGTAATAAACGCACATATATAGGACATTAAAGAACGTACACGTAAGTACTTAAGTGTGAGTATTTACGAGTTAGTATCTGTATGTGGTTGCCGTAAATAAAATATACCGTTAAAATTAGTTTTGATTACTAAAAGTGAGCGAAGCAAAGGTGCAACTTGGCCACGGTTTCGTTCTTTAGGGAAAAGTGTTCTACAGAGAGGCTACCATAGCCCCTATCATGGACTGCTTATTTGAGAGAACAGGAAAAATACTTTTGGTTCGCCAACCTTGCTCGTGCTTAGCTTGTTCTTTTATACTAGTGTTACTAAAATAAAATATAATGGTCTCTTAAATATCTAAATTTCCATCAGTGTTTGATGGGTTCCGTAAAAACTATAAATTGTTGGGTCGATAGTAATTTATTAGCATAGACAGTGCCTGATTCAAGTTCTGACCGTCCGAAGCCTGTACTGCTTGTTTAATTCCTCTCCTACCCTAACAGGTAGAGCACAGTGCAATGCAAGAGTGAAAACCTTTTTTTTAGTGCAGAGTATCCGAATACTCTGCAATAGTCTCAAAACTACAGGAATAAACGAAAAAGCTAAGCTCACTCTTGTAATTTAATGCTTACAAACCAAGAGCTCAGGGGCCTTTTAGTTCTTTTACGATAATGCTTGCAATGACAAGCCTGACCGTGGTCTGCAGCCTGAAATTATATATATAATATATGAAATAAATATAATAAAACAAAACGCTTTATCATAATGCCTTATTCGTTTCAATGTATGTATGATAGGTGTCAAAAAAAGTATAAGTACTTTAGTCGTACCTTATAAAACTCACGTCAAACCACTTGCGCTAGATTTACGTTCGGGGATTTCCTGTGTTTTATTTCGCCTGTCATTTTGACAGGCTGCCAGTGTCAACGGTTGTCGACTTATGCTTTTGTGTTATGTACGTGTTGCGTTGCATTTTTTATTTCAAGTATCATCATTAAAACTAATTCCACAAAGACAAGGACAGATAATGATCTACCCGACTGGGCCCTCGCAATGGTCTACCCTCCCAGAGGCCTAAGGCCGCCACTGTTCTTCACTCAAAGAGCGATAACGCACTTGTATGTATCTCTTGAGTTGTAGGTGTCGGTAAATGGCTATGGGCGGCATAGCGGCATTAGTCACTCTTAGTCACATAAAATGATTCATCTGCTCGTTTGCCACCTATACAATAGATCTCATAGTTCAAAAGCAGATGAATTCAAATTATTATTATACGTAGTAAGTATTATATATTTTATAGTATTATGACAACTACAAAACCAACAACTGGCATTTTACCCGACTAAAAATCCCCTACCACCTGTCCGTGGCATGTCGGACTCGAACCGACTAAAACCGCACGCCGTCTCGGGTACTAATAGCCGGGGAACCAGGTGTACCCTAGAAAGGAAGTCCCTGGTGCCCCGACATACCTCGGGTCATCTACAGACGAGTAGACGACCCCCCCCCCCCCCCGTGTGGGAACCCCATGTTCCCTGTGCTCCCTAGAGGCGAGCGCGTTTCGCAACGCGCTCGCCGCCACCCTGGCCTGCTTCTGCTAGGGTGACAGATGGCCTCACCTGTCACCCCCAGGCCTGCGCTTATGGAGGACGGAGGTCGTTCTGCGACCTCCGGCGCCTGAGTCGCCTGCGGTACCTGGCCCGTTCCCGGGCCTGGCGCGCCGGGAGAGTCCTAAACCTCTCCCGGTCCCGCTCCGCCGTCTCCTTCGCGACCATAACTTGCACTCTCGCTCCGCACGATAGCCGCAATCAGGCTATCGAGCGAGAGATCCTACTCCGATGGCCTCACCTCTGCTCAACCCACGCCGGGCACTCTGCCAGCGTGTGGAGAGCCGTGTCCACGGTCTGGCCATCGCAGTGGTGGCACTCAGGCGTTGGCTCCTTGCGGATCAGACACAGGTGATCCCCGAAACATCCCTTCCCAGTGATCACCTGCGTCAATCGGTATGAGAGGGTCCCGTGACGCCTCTCGAGCCAATCCTCCATAACGGGTCTTACCGCCGCGATGACGGCGTGCCCGAATCTTAACAACCTAAGATCTATCTAATATTTATGTTAATCTTGTATTTGCCTATAATAAAACAGCATCTTTTGGAAACCTGATAAACTACATACGAGTACACTGGTAGAATAATTAGTATAAAATGAAAAAGATTGAAGTCAGAATTAAACTTACGTGTGAAAACTGTTTGTTCTGAGGAGAGTAAACTTCTTTGCATTGAAAACAATGCTTAATTTTTCGTTTTGCGTTTACAGCTTTTCATTAAAAAAAGGTGGTGTAACCGGGGCCATCTTAGGCCCTGTAACGTCAACCTCACCTGCACGCGGTGAACCCTAACAAACAACGGACGAGGCTCTGGCGACCGACTCGTGGCGATATAACCAGTCCACTGCGGGAATCTATAAATATCGATATTGATGACGGACAGCAACGTCACCAGATAAATGATTCTCGCCCCTGCGTGGTGACCATGGCGAATTCCCCCAGATGGATCGCAACCAAACAAAACGGTCCCCAGTTCCCGGTACTCGCACTATTCCTGGCCATCGTACCGGCCACGGTGGTGCGAAGAACATTCGCCGGTGGTAGGGTACCACCGCTTATGGAGGACGGAGGTCGTTCTGCGACCTCCGGCGCCTGAGTCGCCTGCGGTACCTGGCCCGTTCCCGGGCCTGGCGCGCCGGGAGAGTCCTAAACCTCTCCCGGTCCCGCTCCGCCGTCTCCTTCGCGACCATAACTTGCACTCTCGCTCCGCACGATAGCCGCAATCAGGCTATCGAGCGAGAGATCCTACTCCGATGGCCTCACCTCTGCTCAACCCACGCCGGGCACTCTGCCAGCGTGTGGAGAGCCGTGTCCACGGTCTGGCCATCGCAGTGGTGGCACTCAGGCGTTGGCTCCTTGCGGATCAGACACAGGTGATCCCCGAAACATCCCTTCCCAGTGATCACCTGCGTCAATCGGTATGAGAGGGTCCCGTGACGCCTCTCGAGCCAATCCTCCATAACGGGTCTTACCGCCGCGATGACGGCGTGCCCGAATCTTAACAACCTAAGATCTATCTAATATTTATGTTAATCTTGTATTTGCCTATAATAAAACAGCATCTTTTGGAAACCTGATAAACTACATACGAGTACACTGGTAGAATAATTAGTATAAAATGAAAAAGATTGAAGTCAGAATTAAACTTACGTGTGAAAACTGTTTGTTCTGAGGAGAGTAAACTTCTTTGCATTGAAAACAATGCTTAATTTTTCGTTTTGCGTTTACAGCTTTTCATTAAAAAAAGGTGGTGTAACCGGGGCCATCTTAGGCCCTGTAACGTCAACCTCACCTGCACGCGGTGAACCCTAACAAACAACGGACGAGGCTCTGGCGACCGACTCGTGGCGATATAACCAGTCCACTGCGGGAATCTATAAATATCGATATTGATGACGGACAGCAACGTCACCAGATAAATGATTCTCGCCCCTGCGTGGTGACCATGGCGAATTCCCCCAGATGGATCGCAACCAAACAAAACGGTCCCCAGTTCCCGGTACTCGCACTATTCCTGGCCATCGTACCGGCCACGGTGGTGCGAAGAACATTCGCCGGTGGTAGGGTACCACCGCTTATGGAGGACGGAGGTCGTTCTGCGACCTCCGGCGCCTGAGTCGCCTGCGGTACCTGGCCCGTTCCCGGGCCTGGCGCGCCGGGAGAGTCCTAAACCTCTCCCGGTCCCGCTCCGCCGTCTCCTTCGCGACCATAACTTGCACTCTCGCTCCGCACGATAGCCGCAATCAGGCTATCGAGCGAGAGATCCTACTCCGATGGCCTCACCTCTGCTCAACCCACGCCGGGCACTCTGCCAGC